TCTCTCTCTCTCTCTCTCTCTCTCTCTCTCTCTCTCTCTCTCTCTCTCTCTTTCTTTTTAATGGTGTCATGTCATCCGGATATCGTTTCTTGTAAGAGCAATAAAAACAGAGGAATCGCGCGCGTAGTTTCATATTTTTAACGACGTGCGCTCGCCACTTCCTCCTGACTATAAGCAACGGTTTACGAGAGAGTAAATAAGTTACAATAGAATATTTGCTTGAAACATAGTGACTTGATCATTATGAGACGCGCTAAAAAATAAAATCCGCGAGCTAGCGTAGAGCGCGCAGTTCCGCAATTCTAATAACTCGCTCGTCTGCCCTCCCCGCGAAATATGCCGCTTTATGCCGCAAGAAAGCGAAACGCACGCGGTGAAAAACTGCTACAAAAAATGTCCACCTTACATATGAGAGAGCAGCCGTTGCGGGCACTATTAAAAAATGAAATTCCGGGGCGAAGAAACTCGTGTAGTCGCGCAATTTTAATAACGCGCTTTTATGTGCCCGGGACAAAAAACACGGAAGAAAACCATTATGAGATTTTTTTCTTATGCATGTGGTACTATTATGGCACTCGGTGCCGCGAAAAAATGCTAGTCGACATTGCATTTAGCGCAAGAATTTTAATAATATATGTTATCCGCGCGCGAGAGTGCTTTCTCCATCTCAGTGAGATACGGCACGTTTTGCGTCATCATAATACTCTCTTTGCAGTCGCCGTTGTTAGAAAAGTCTTTCGCCCAAAGGCACGTTGTGAATGAGGTCTCGTCGGATCCTAGACGATCCGAAACGAATAGGACTCTGAGAAAACAACTTCTCGTAAGAGAGAAAGAAAGAGAGAGAAAGAGTTTTCATGCAGTGTGTGTTATCTTGTTAAACGAATAATGCCCTCTCAGCTCTATAACAAGCATCGTTTTTAGCATGCAACGTTGGACACAATGGTTCGCGCAATTCAGAATTATTGTATATACAGGGTGTTCCCAAAAAACCATTCAGTATTTATATGATAGATAGCACACACCATACTGAGTACAAAATTTCTAGTGAACATAGGTTGAAAGCTCAACCGTTTCTGAGATATAAACATTTTTGTATGTTAGCATCATGAATGACTTACTGGCTTTACAGAAGGTGTTCCACATGTCCTCCTTCCATTTCCATACACGCTTGGTATCTTTTTACAGAGTTGTGAACTCTCTTGAAAATTCCAGGTCTCTATTGAATTATTTCACAATGCTGGATTCGGTCGCGTATCCAGCAATCACCGCTTGATGATACCTGACTGATTGCCAGTGAAATCTTCTGTTATGAAGTATGTACAGAAATTGAATGAAGACATACAAAACGCGGTTTATAAACATTGAGATAAACATCGCATACGTATAAACCTCAGTCATGATGCTAACATACAAAAATGTTTATATCTCAGAAACGGTTTCGACCTATGTTCACTAAAGTTTTTTTACTCAGTATGGTGTGTATCTACCATATAAATGCTGAATTATTTTTGGGGAACACCCTGTATATATATGTATGCAATGTTATCTAAGTTTCCACAATAAAACTTGAGCGCTTTCTCTCGATGCTTTTTAAGATAGTCTACAGTTTGTACATTCCAGACGTGTGTTTACTCTGCTTAGGGAAATTTCAAAGAACATTGCAATATCCTTACAACTGAGTTTAGAGAAGTTTAAAAATATAGGAAAAATTTGCAGAACGATTTCTACACGTGCGTAGTCATATTCTCCTCTAAATATAGTAAAGCAAAGTGGTATATACATTTATATATCGGATCTATATTGAAAAAAATTGATATTCTTGGTCTTAGAAAAATCCTCTAAAATAGGCGCCAAGTGTAAAACATAAGATTTATTCCTTTTCCTGAAAGAAAATTCTGTACACAAAGAAAAAATTTCCTATCAAAACAAAAAGAATCAATTTTATGTTTAAAATATCTTACACTTGATTAGATATTATATATTTTTAGGATATCTTACACTCTACTTTATAAGATTTTTTTAAGAACAAGAATATCAGTTTTTCAGTGATATACGCAAGAAATACGAAAAAGGCGATCGTATTAATGCTTATTCTGACATGACGTCTTGACGATCGTCTCTACGTTACCGACACTTCTGGGGTTTGTCATCCACTTTGGCATTCCCTGTTGTAAACAACTTTTGACGCTTATTATGTAATCAAGATATACATATGCTATACACATACACAGCATACGCGCAACCGTATCCGCCATTAATTAGTACGTGTCTCCATAGGATATGGACATGCTGCAACTATTCGCGTCGCCAGCAGGTCGAGCGCTGCTCACGAACGACAATCGACCGAGAGGATCGACGTCGACCTCCTCCTTGTCTCGAGAGTCCTCGTCAAGGCTGAAGAGCGGTAGGAGACCATCGGGTACCGGCACAGTCAGCGCACCCACATCGCCGCCAAGACGGCGGAAGTCGAGCGCCGAGCTCTACAAGGAGGCCGTCGAGATCCTCGGCCTAACTTGCTCACTGACCGATAGCTGCCGGTGCATCGATTGCCAGGTAATCACTCGATTGACACTTGATGTACTGCTACCTCGCCTCGGCTCTTTACACGATCTAAAATACGATACGAAAATACGCCACGCGATGTCAAACTGAATATCCCAGAAATCTGCACTTGCTGCAGACGGATTTATTGAGCAACTCGAAATCGATTTCTATTTGCAACTAAGGTTTCCGGTCCCTCGCCGTAGTCACCTTGATTTATAAAGTCAAAAGCGAGAAGATACAAACATTGACAATTTTTGCAAAATATGATAAAGTGAATGTGTTATACACTGAGGGAAAAATTACTTTAAAATCAACAAATATTTCTTTGATGGATGCTATTAACATATTTATTTATAATTCTAAATTCTCTTTATTTAAACCAAATATTGTTTACTTAAATCAGGTAAACAATATTTGATTGAAAACAATATTTAATTTACATAAAGAGAATTTAGATTTAAGTAAATATGTTAATGGCACCCATCAAAGAAATATTTGTTGATTTTAAGGTAATTTTTCCTTCAGTGTATGTTTACAAAATCATACTTGCAGTTAATCGAGCAGACCCGTAAAACTTTCCAAACACTTTCCTTTTATTCTAACAATCAATAAAGCCGTAAAATTAACAGGACAAAATCATGAGAGAAGGTAGATTAAAGAGGAAAGTTGCATATCATATTAATTTTACGGTCATTAGTTCATTGTTCGAACAAAGGGGAAGTGTTCAGACTATTTTAAAAATCTGCTCGATCGATTGCAAGAATCATTTAATGGATATATCTTTTTATTTCAACATATTCTGCAAGAATGTTCAACGTGTACCTTCTGAACTTCTGACGTCATCGATCAAGAGTTCTGCAGCAAGAAAGCAGGAGCCTTAAAAACTTAATCGTCTGCCAAATACCATTACTTTCCGCGCTCTTGAATTATTAAATATCTTATGAGCTACATCTATAAATTAAGCTTGTCGAGACAAGATCTATTTGAAACGGTAATTTCATATTAAAGAAGGAAGCTCTTCGCGTTATATATATGTAGCAGATTTGTCGAAATATTTATTCATATGTGGTTAATATAGTTACAAAACTTCCCTATATATCGCGCAGTTGGCTTATAAAATTCTAACCATCTTGTTAATTGGCAATTGAAAATTCTATTTGGAGCAATAACGGAGAAATATCAAATTCAATTAAGACTGCGGTCCATTTTTTTCAAGCCAATTACACCGCACGCAATTGGCACGGGCAAAACGACACCGACGGTTGTAGTCGCGCAAACGAAGTCGATATTGGCTAGTTTGTATACTAATTGGACAGCTCCGTTACGGATTACTCGTCGCGGAACAAGCTTTTTTACTGCTCCGTTTTGGCTCGCACTTCTAGGTTCGTTAGTTTGCCGTTACGCTCGGAAAATTCTGATTCGTTTCTGTCAGGTAATACCCAAATAAGACCATTGATGTAAACCTGTCCACTTTAAAATTTTCACTAAGAATTTACACATAATTATAGATCATTGACTCAAAAGTTATAGGAACTATTAATAATATTTTTTAAACTACATTAAAAGTCGTTATCTGATTATTTACTGCTGTGGTTATTCAGGTAAATTAAATTATTATGTTAAATATACCTGGACGCGGAAATGAACGCTCTAAAAATTCATTTAAGTACAAACGAATATTAATATCTAATTCTTATGAGTAAAACAAAGCTGTCATCTCTCTCACTTCGAGAACATAAAAAATTTTATATATTCTCGTTTAAAAATGTCTAAATTCTTCAAAAGCATCTCTAAAACTTTATAAAAATATTAAAGCGCAGCTTGTGTGTGTGTGTGTGTGGAAATTGTATCATGTTACCTTCCCTAGTAGAAACTTCATGCAATTTTCGAGCTGTCACTGGACAGTTATGTTAACTTTTGTCTCGCAGATGCGCGAAAATTTTATCAAGTTTTCGTGCAGTTTCTATGCAGTATTTATCAGTAACTATATAAATATTAGTAATTAATTATTGTGCCATAGATAATATAAGTATATGTAAATATTAGTAATTATTATCATGCATTAATATTAGATATAATAACTGGGCAAATTTCCACGCAAACTGCACACATTTCTACTAGAGTTGCAGCGAGAGAAAATATAGCTAACGAAATGGTACTTTCGCACACACGCACATACACACCGTCGATTGGAATATCGATCAATTGGCTCAACTACACCGCATCATTACTCAACTCAATGCTGACACCCGGTCTCCTTTGTTTGTGCAGAGCAATTACTTCAACTGCGAGGACGATTGCGCCGACGCCGGTACGGAATTGGCTGCAGGCACTCCTATTTTATTGGACCACGCTCTGTCGCATCATCTGACTGTATGCTCCATACAGTAGCAGGCGACTGGCAGACGAAGACTACGTGATCAGCCCCCGGTTAACCCGCTCTGCCACATTTACCGGAAGAAGATGATGACGTCGCCGGCACGTTGACATCTCCCGCGACAAAGGATACGCAACGACCGCGCTCAAGAGACAAGAATCCCTGCGTGACCGGAAGTAACCAGCGCGGCAACGGCATTATGCAGCGATCGAATATTTAACGGGAATGTCGAGTCGTTCGTTTTGTGTTTCGCTCATCCGCGCAGGGAGTCCGCGCAAATATTTTCCCTCGCCAAATCATTTGCCTGACGGTTCGCGCGATTGGGCGATTATTTGCCCGACGGCTATTGCAGAATCGCACCTGTCCGACAACATGAATTTTTATTCAAGCGCATTCTCGTGCGCATCCCATCGAGTGCACTCTATCGGGTATGTTTTGTAATCGCTTCGAAACATAATATATGAACTTGTTGTTGTCGTCGAATTTGTTACAATTATACGAGATGCGACAGAACAAAACGGGATAATCTGTTGCGAATCGTCACTCGTCACAGAGGCGTTCCGTGTTATTTGCTCTCAGCGGTGCAACGACTCGCACCGACTTGTTGTATCGGTCGAAAATTCGACTTTCAGAAATTGCGTTCAGAAGCGACGAAGAAGAGCACGGCTCAAAAAGAATCGGACAACTATGCCAAATAGCGCCAAATTTATGATAGGAAATCCTAATTAATAATAACGCGCCTGCGTCGCGTCTAACATTCATTCATCGGATAAACGTATCGGTATTGTTTAATCGCGGTATATAAATTATATATTATATATATACACGTGTATGTGTGTGTGTATGTGTGTGTACGTATACACACGCACACACGCAAAAACATATATATATATTATATTTACTACATGTTTTATTATTAACATTTACTTAAGTCTAGCGAAATACAGTTGTTGAACAGCAAGCGCTCGCGCGGCTAAAAATAAAGAGAAAAGCTCCAGCTGGCGAATTAAGCGATTTCGCACGATGTTATGTATAGACTTTACATATATGTCAAGCAGTTGAGTATGTGTTCGATTAAGTTTTCTAAAGTGAACGCTCCTACTGAAGAACTCCACGTTGAGTTAAGGAGACGCATGTAATAATACAGCGAGTAAGATAAAAGTACCAATGTCCGGACATACACCTAATTCTGAACATTCTTATTATTCTGATCTTAAAATATAAATATTTAAACTTTTAACATAAAAAATATATATACAAATATTGTATATATACAAATATATACGTATATTCTATGTTGAAAGTTTAAATATATTCGTATTTAAATATCAAAATAATAAGAACGTTCAGGATTAAATATATGTTCGGGAATTGATACTTTTACCTTAATGGTGTTCTCGACCCGTGAGATTTGCGCAAAAATACAACGCAATGCATTTAAATTAACAGAATGTAGTAAACTCTTAGTAGAAACCTTAGTGGCGAATGTTCCGTCACCACACGAACTAGGTTACTGCGAAATGAAGCAAGTAATAATCGGAAGGTTGAGGACACCTCCTCCGCGTGTAATTGTAAGCGACGATAAACGATAAACGAAGTTAGGCCTGAATTATGTTGCGAATTTCAAACTGGATGACGCAAACCGAGAAAACGAACGTGAGAAAGTGTCGCTCGCGCCCTGAACGATTAGAGGAAGCTTAGCGATATATCGGACTTCGAAGAGGGTCAAGTGCCAAATAACTCGTTGCTAAGCCAGATGATCAATCTAATTGTTAATGAAATCTCCGCGTGTATGTTGATTAACACGTTGCGCTATATCTCGAACACTCCGGTGAAATTTTATATCGAGCTTGGAGCAAAACGTTTACCTCCAGACTTAATCGATAGGAATTCGATACGTTTTGCCCCCAAAACTGTTTCAATGCGTTGAAGATTAAATTTCTATCGATCCTTCGGTTCGCTGAGAATCACATTATTTAGGACCAGAGTGCATTCTGTAATTTAAGTTACAATTATACGTACATTGTATACTTTGTAATCTACAAAACAGATAATAAGCTCTCGTTTCTGGGATCATAAGTAACGAGGCATCTACAGTGTATCTCATCAGCAGATGTTTAACAATCGATGAGGGAGCTGTCGCAACTTTCATGCATCTCCTTTTGTCAAACATTTATTATGATTTAACCAGAGATGGCTCAACATCTCGCATGCGGAATCGTCTCATTATTGTTTATCGTAGCCGCAGCTTCGATTATTCCTCATGCAAATCTGCTTTCAGTTCGTGTGTGAACTTTTGTCTTTGTTGTCTGAATTTGGAAACAGTATCCCTCGCTCAAGAATCTGATATTACAAATATCGAGAACAGCTGGTGTTACAAGCTTCCACAGCGATAAATCTAGCTTTATTTTCCGAAAAAAACACTCGCATGCGAGCGAAATTCTTGCGTAAAAGCACGCGAATGTGCTTTTAATGTGCAAAACATCGCTATCATAACACACAAACACACGTAATACATATTCGTGTGAACTTTCGTCTTCGTTGTTTGAATTTGGAAACGGTATTTCCTCCCCTCCCCCGCCCCCTTCGCCTCTCTCTGAGAATCTGGTGTTTTACACACACCTCGAGCGATAAATCCAGTTCTGCTTTTCCGAAAACATCTGCACACGGGTGGAATTCTCACGTGAAAAGGTGCGCGAATATGAAAATCTCACGGTCAGTACTACGCAGTACTACGCGGTAATTTCTGTTTCGCACATTCAGGATTTCGTGATATTGCCAAAATCTTACTACGACATCGTTACTTTTTACAACGAGACACACGTCGTCGGTACTAGATGTAATGAATAGATCTATACTGAATCTCGTCTTCGTCACACGTTTCCGCCAACTCGGCGAACGTTCGATGAACGAGTAGAATCGCGCTCTTCTTGATCTAAACAGCCGTCGCCGTTTATCGCGAAGTCGTGCGAATAGTAGTTTTCTGAAAGCCATATGATTTTTCCTCCTCGAGTTTATTATTCAAATAAGCGCGAACGAATATGCAATACAACTATCAGGGTTGCCGCACGTATCGTCTCAGTGATCGATCTTTTCGCTCGAGAAAAGTATCCTGAACGCAAGGCCGCGCATTCTTTCGCGAGCATCACAAAATTAAACTACCGTGCATCAAGTTTGTTCCAAGAGGAATTTTGCACGTTATGTTATGATTCCCGTTGGCTACCAGAAGTGGATTAAGAAATTCCGTTTTGGTGACACAACAAACAGGCTTTCTACATCACGAGTGTCTAAAATAAATGATCGATGATACCTGATAGCTAACGCATACTCTTCTTCGCGCGCAGTAACGACTGATCGATCAACGGCCTCGGATATCTGACGACATTTACTAATGTACCTTTTTTCACCAAGTGACGATTATTTGTCTTTATTAAAGAGAATTGCGTCGTAGCAGAATGTTAGTATGATTGAAGTACTACCAGTAACGTTATTAAGTGTAGATAGAAAGAGGTGTGATCTCTTGGATTAAGTAGACGTGAAGCGGGAGAAAGCCGTGAAATTGAGATCTAAGTTTTGTAATTAATACGTCGACTATGGTAATCTGCAAAATCGAATTGTTTTCTTATTCTGTTAGGTAAAATTTTATTACTGTCAATTATTCTCCGCATTATTGCGTGACACTTCTTTAAGACGTAAGTACGTTTAGTATTGTTACGTTGTTACGACTATAGTTAAGTTTTTGTACGATGTTATTATTATGAGAGTAGTTCAGGCACATAAGATCACTGCTGCCTACTTTGTATGTATTCCCGGCTTTCTTCCGCATACATCCGCAGCCAACCGAGTTTTAGAGTGCACGTCCGTTGCGTCGGATTGGCTTCTTCTCATCGACGAAAGTAACAGCGCAATTAATAACCTTTCCGAATATATTCGAGAGTCGCGAGGATAATAATCTCGCGAGGGTATGTAATGTGAAATCTGTGGCTTCTAACCATTTTATAGTAACATAAATTGCGAGGGAAGTTTGGAGGGGATAATCCTCGCGAGCCGCTGTGGCGTACTCTTCGATAAGACTACCATTAAAGTACGATACAATATACTTGACTCTCGTTTTACTATTGTGTCCATTTTTAATCACCCTTTTCCTCTTCCTAATAACAACTACTCGTGACAAAATTTCGAATAAATGAAAACATGTAAAAATAAATTTAGAAATCCCAAAGACTGTGTAATCTATTTAGAATCTAATTTATTTAGAATATAAATATCTACTTAGAGTCGTTCCAGTTAATGTAATAATACAACAATATTCTCTCGCAAGAATAAAAATAAATATTTAGAAATTAATATGAGCAATGTACTTACTATAAATAGAATTGTTTAGATTATCGCAAAACTAGATTATCTCTCATCAGTCTCGTCTTTTTCGCGCTGCGTTCTGCGTAATGTTGCAAGGAAAAAAGATTTGGAAACTGGACAATATAAAACAATAAGTAAATTACAAGCTTAAACATGCCGCTCATATTTTTTGCTTATTTCTCGACAATTACAAAAGATATCGATGTGATTCAAAGAAAACAAAGTTCTAAACAATCTGTCTTGTTGGAATTCAGAGTTCACAATAATACTACTAATATTATAATAATACTATAATAATGCTATAATAATAATACTATAATAATTCTATTAATAACGGTTCATTAAATAAACCGTGGAAAGATGCGTACTTTTCGACGTCGCTGACAGCTATTTTACTACCGATTACTTGCATTGATTTACTTGCATTTTTCGCGCACTTCTCGGCAACCACTAAAGATATCAAGGTGACTCAAAAGGCACTATCTGCCAACGGGTGTTTGTGTGACTCTGTAGCACACCCAGTACCTTGAAAATATTTTTCCAATATCCCAAAATCACCTTCATAACGTTAGGTTTGTCATTGGAACTCATACGGATTCTCGCGCATGCACAGTGGTACTTATTCTGCGCCTAGGCCGAAAGTAGGCTATGTTATGGTAGGTTATAAGTTATTTCGCGTTAGC